CAAAACATCCATGTCAGCAATGCTCTGCACGGGGAAGGTGCAATGCTCTGCACGGGGAAGGTGCAATGCTCTGCAGTGTTCTTAATCTGATTGGTGGGATTTGTAATGCTTTTCATTGCACTGGCTCTGCAGGCAGTGGATACATTGCGGGGCAGGAGAGGGTCGGCGCGCGGTTGAGCGGGGCAGGAGAGGGTCGGCGCGCGGTTGAGCGGGGCATGAGAGGGTCGGCGCGCGGTTGAGCGGGGCAGGAGAGGGTCGGCGCGCGGTTGAGCGGGGCAGGAGAGGGTCGGCGCGCGGTTGAGCGGGGCAGGAGAGGGTCGGCGCGCGGTTGAGCGGGGCAGGAGAGGGTCGGCGCGCGGTTGAGCGGGGCAGGAGAGGGTCGGCGCGCGGTTGAGCGGGGCAGGAGAGGGTCGGCGCGCGGTTGAGCGGGGCAGGAGAGGGTCGGCGCGCGGTTGAGCGGGGCAGGAGAGGGTCGGCGCGCGGTTGAGCGGGGCAGGAGAGGGTCGGCGCGCGGTTGAGCGGGGCAGGAGAGGGTCGGCGCGCGGTTGAGCGGGGCAGGAGAGGGTCGGCGCGCGGTTGAGCGGGGCAGGAGAGGGTCGGCGCGCGGTTGAGCGGGGCAGGAGAGGGTCGGCGCGCGGTTGAGCGGGGCAGGAGAGGGTCGGCGCGCGGTTGAGCGGGGCAGGAGAGGGTCGGCGCGCGGTTGAGCGGGGCAGGAGAGGGTCGGCGCGCGGTTGAGCGGGGCAGGAGAGGGTCGGCGCGCGGTTGAGCGGGGCAGGAGAGGGTCGGCGCGCGGTTGAGCGGGGCAGGAGAGGGTCGGCGCGCGGTTGAGCGGGGCAGGAGAGGGTCGGCGCGCGGTTGAGCGGGGCAGGAGAGGGTCGGCGCGCGGTTGAGCGGGGCAGGAGAGGGTCGGCGCGCGGTTGAGCGGGGCAGGAGAGGGTCGGCGCGCGGTTGAGCGGGGCAGGAGAGGGTCGGCGCGCGGTTGAGCGGGGCAGGAGAGGGTCGGCGCGCGGTTGAGCGGGGCAGGAGAGGGTCGGCGCGCGGTTGAGCGGGGCAGGAGAGGGTCGGCGCGCGGTTGAGCGGGGCAGGAGAGGGTCGGCGCGCGGTTGAGCGGGGCAGGAGAGGGTCGGCGCGCGGTTGAGCGGGGCAGGAGAGGGTCGGCGCGCGGTTGAGCGGGGCAGGAGAGGGTCGGCGCGCGGTTGAGCGGGGCAGGAGAGGGTCGGCGCGCGGTTGAGCGGGGCAGGAGAGGGTCGGCGCGCGGTTGAGCGGGGCAGGAGAGGGTCGGCGCGCGGTTGAGCGGGGCAGGAGAGGGTCGGCGCGCGGTTGAGCGGGGCAGGAGAGGGTCGGCGCGCGGTTGAGCGGGGCAGGAGAGGGTCGGCGCGCGGTTGAGCGGGGCAGGAGAGGGTCGGCGCGCGGTTGAGCGGGGCAGGAGAGGGTCGGCGCGCGGTTGAGCGGGGCAGGAGAGGGTCGGCGCGCGGTTGAGCGGGGCAGGAGAGGGTCGGCGCGCGGTTGAGCGGGGCAGGAGAGGGTCGGCGCGCGGTTGAGCGGGGCAGGAGAGGGTCGGCGCGCGGTTGAGCGGGGCAGGAGAGGGTCGGCGCGCGGTTGAGCGGGGCAGGAGAGGGTCGGCGCGCGGTTGAGCGGGGCAGGAGAGGGTCAGTCCTGACCGGGAATGGAGGTCCTGACCGGGAATGGAGGTCCTGACCGGGAATGGAGGGCCTGACCGGGAATGGAGGGCCTGACCGGGAATGGAGGGCCTGACCGGGAATGGAGGTCCTGACCGGGAAGAGCAGGCCGGTTGGCTGGACTGAGCAGGGAGGAAGGTATGGAGGGGGTGGAGTCTGATATCATTATGTTGTGTCCCCGTGTAGTCACGCTCTGTTTTCTCCTTCTTGGCGCAGTGGGAAGAGGTCAGCGGGTACGACGAGAACATGAACACCATCCGGACGTACCAGGTATGCAACGTCTTTGAGACGAGTCAGAACAATTGGCTGCGGACCAAGTACATCCGGCGGAGAGGAGCGCACCGCATCCATGTGGAGATGAAGTTCTCGGTGAGGGACTGTAGCAGCATCCCCAGCGTGCCCGGCTCCTGCAAGGAAACCTTCAATCTCTATTATTACGAGTCCGACTTTGACTCGGCCACCAAGACGTTTCCCGCCTGGATGGAGAACCCGTGGTCTAAGGTGGACACCATCGCCGCCGACGAGAGCTTCTCGCAGGTGGACCTGGGCGGGCGCGTGATGAAGATCAACACCGAGGTGCGCAGCTTCGGGCCCGTCTCTAAAAATGGCTTCTACCTGGCGTTCCAGGACTACGGCGGCTGCATGTCGCTCATCGCCGTCCGCGTCTATTACAGGAAGTGCCCGCGGATCATCCAGAACGGGGCCGTGTTCCAGGAGACCTTATCTGGGGCAGAAAGCACCTCCTTGGTGGCGGCGCGAGGGATTTGTATACAGAACGCCGAGGAGGTGGATGTGCCGATAAAACTCTACTGTAATGGAGACGGCGAGTGGCTGGTGCCCATCGGGCGCTGTATGTGCAAGGCCGGATACGAGTCTGTGGAGAACGGGACGGCGTGCCGAGGTAAGACCCCCACCCCCGCTCCTCCGGAGATGTCCTCAAAGTGTGTTTATGTATAACCCTATGGTATGTGACACTGTCCCCCTAGACCACACGTGTCAAGGCCCAGGGGCCCAATCCGGCCCCCCGGCCCACTTCCTGGACTTCTACTCTCAGATCTCGGTATGAAGTGATAATGGGACGCAGAGGCAATGGTGATGAAGATACATTGATATCGTCTTACAGATACCTCCTGAGGGCAACTAGAATGTGGATGCGGCCCACCA